AGAGCGGGCGAAATCCCGAAAGGAAAAAGGATTTGGTGGAAAAGAGGAGGGAGGGGAAGAGAGAGGGAGACTTCGACCGGGAGCGCCGACAGAAGGACGGGCGAAAGCAGGAGGCAAGGGAGGAGGCCAGAGGAGCGGGGAAAGGTTGAGGGAAAGGGAGTCGAACTGGGCTCTCCCGAGGGTTGCGAATTTCCTTCTTCGCTCACGGGGCGACACGCGCCTTTCGGCGCGATGTGTCGTAATTTCATCATCACGCACGCACGCATACCAATGCGCGGGCTCGTAACGCAGGCAGGTAAATTAAAGCAGCGGCACACGGTCTGACGCATTACCACGTGATACACTCGCGGCGGATTGATGAGAAAGAACGGACTGCGAACGAAGAGCCGCGAGAGAACGAAAGTCGCTGCTGCTGCTGCTTCCTTCTCCTCCTCCTTCTGTTCCTCGTCATCGCCGTTGCCGTCGCCGTCGTCGTCGTCGTCGACCGCATGCCGCGCGCGCGACGTCTATTGCATAACGTGCCGCATCGCGCCGCACATTTTTTTTTCAAACGTGCGGAGCGAACGTACAACACGTTCCGCAAGACAAGCTCCGCTCTAAACACGCGATCGTCGGGAGCCGGCTTACGTTGCTATATAGTCATCTATCTGCTCGCTGATAAACGGCAGCCACGAGAAATCGGAGAATCTACGGACCGGCTTCATTTCACGAGAACGAAAACGCTCGACAAAGAACATAGTCCCGTGAGCAGCAGAGAACGCGGGACCTTACCGCGAAAGAACGCGCCACTCTGCTCAATCCGGAATCGGCCACTATTACCTCGAACTCCCCGTTTCGTCCCGTCCCGTCGCGTCGCGCCGCGCCGCGCCGCGTTCCGTTCACGCGACGTAAAGAGTATCGAGCGCGTTTTACGCCGTCGTCGCGTCGAGGAGCAGCACATCCGACCCGAACAAACACGCGAGCACGCAGGCGATATGACCAGGGGCCGCGACGACGACCGATATCATCCACCTCTTCCTCCTTCTCCTCATCTACCTCCTTCTCCTCTTCACCTCCTCTCCTCGTGTCGCCGCTTCGAACGATGAAGACGCCGCGTACAGGAACACGCCCGCGCGTCGTTCGTGTAAAAACGAACCGTGGTGCCGCCACCGAGACGATCGGTCGTCTCGCAATGTACAATGGCGGAGCAAAAAACAGGCCTCGAAGGTAGCTTCCCTCGGATTCACGGGTTACAACGCACGCTCTCCTTCCTTTCTTGCTCACTCACTCGCTCGTTCCTCTCTCTCTCTCTCCCTCTCTGCCCCTCACACTCGACTCACACACTTACTCTTTCTTTCTCTTATGTACCCTAGC